CTTTCTCTGCACCATCCAATTCTCCTTCCCTACTTCTCTCCCTCTCCCCCCACATCTAGCAGGCTACATCATCTGCTGAAAGTTTTTGGAATCAGGCTGATGGTGCATGGAATCAATTGGATGGCTATCTGCATGCTCAGGAGGAAGCCCAGGGTTGCAGGTTGCTCACTGCAAGAGACCACTGTGACAGCAGAAGAAACACAGTTTGGGAAGGTTCCATGGAAGACAAGTCCCATAATCCCATAACCTGAATGAGCAGTGGCCATGCTGGCTAGGAGATGCTGGGAACAGTTATCCAAAAAAGTAATTTTCCAAAATCTGTACAAGTGCATAGCTTATACCTGGGAAGTGCTGATCTACACATTCAGGAGAATCATGTGAGGAGAAGAAGGGATCTGTTAGAATGTTATCTCATTTAAGAAGGCAGTGTGTTATGTAACCCTGTACAGTGATTTCAAAAAACCCAACATGAGGACTATGGCATGAAGGGAAGGAGAGGGGTAACTCTGTCTTCTCCATTTTCCCAATCAAAATTGCTATTTGCAATGAGAAGAAACTTTGACCTGCATCAAAGGCAGTATTAAAGTCCTCCCTTCCTCCCATGCTGTGGTCTCAGTCTGTTTCACTACCTCAAGCTGGCTATTTCCTTAAAAAAATCCACAACCCTCAAACTACTACCACACAGAGCCAAACAACAAGAATAACATCATGTGCCTTATTAAACGCCCAAGAAGAAGAGCCAGTATACTCATTTCCTTTACATGAATGTGTTCTATGTACAGGGAAAAACCCTTTGAGTTCAGAAGCTTTCAAACTTGCAATCTCCATCACATGTATTCTGAAGTGATACACTGTTAGGACAAAAATTTTCCCTACTTTGTATAAACTCCTTATTTAACCAATTTCCAACACTAGTCTTATTACTCAAGGGTTTCACAAGGAAAGGGGCATTTCTTGAGTTTTTTTGTCACTTGATGAGCATCATATTGCTCAATTGGGAGCACAAGAAACTGTCATATTGGTATTCCCCCAAAACAAGGAAAGAAAAATAAAAGTTTTTGAAAAAGGGCTCTAGACACAAAACATTTTCTGTAGAAGGAAATTAGGGAGAAAATATGCTAAACTAAATGCAGTGTATAGTCAATATTTTCCCCAAAATGTCCTTGATTTAAAGGCCCATTGAATCAATGAAGGCTTGATACTGTTTTGTTTGTTGTTTGCATTTCATTACAGAAAAAACAAGTCTTATTTAAAAAGGCATGAACAGGGGGATTGTTTTTAATTTAAGTAAATTCCAAAAAATGACAAGTAGAAGAACACGTGAATGAGGTGGTGTCCTCTCAAGTTATTCTAATCAGGCAGGATGTTTGGTTCCCATCTGACACAGGGTTTATTTGTTGCTAAATGATTCCCCTGGAAGGAAAAAAAACCTGTATGCTGGCAAATGGAAAGATGATGGTACCACCAGTAAATATATTCTGCCATGTTTTTTCTTTGCTTGTGGCAGCAGCATTCTGTCACTTCTGCTCTGCCAATATTTAAACATGAAGGCAGTTGCTAGGCAGAATGAAGGCACATGGAGGAAAAAAGCCCTTTGTAAGTCCTCTTCACTTGTGAAACTTGTGACTAATATCAGACATCAAGTGTTTCGTACATAGAAAGGAGATCCTGTCATCCTAATCCAGCAATTTTTGTTTGGGTTAAAGAAGCTCTGATACAAGCACAGAGCAACTGAAAAGCAATTCTGCATGTGTCAGTGTTCGTGTCCATCTCATGCTAGTTCCATGCAGATTTTTTTCACGTACTGTAAACTATCTGTATCATTTTGTGTGTATTTTACTAATGGGTGCAGTAATGGATGCAGGCCTACATTGAATAAAACATATTTGTGCATATTTTGGAAATGTATGCAGGACATTTTTGACATATTTCTTAAAAGTGTGTCTGTCACTTAACTTTTTAAAATAAAAATTTCAAGTATGGAAATTTACAGATTTCTGACTGCAAATTGCATCCAATACTTTGTTCAGTCCACAAGGTGCAGAATTGTATATATGCATAAAACTCTCAATGGAGTGAATTTCTCATGCAGCCATAGAAACAAGACCGCCTACACAGTCCTGTACTTATGCAAGCTTTCTGGAAAATTTAGTACTTTGAAATTTCAGATGTTAATATAGCAACTGTAGGATCTGTCAGGTATTTATAGGCCTCTTGAACAGTTCCCTGCATTTCTGGTCTCACTGTCATGTTATGGAGACAGTTGTAGCCTTAGAAAAACCACTCATTTATTTTCCCCTTACAGCTACCTCACAGAATCATAAAAAGAAAAAAAACTATTCAAGGCAAGTGTCGCATAATTTAAAAATCCCTGCTTTACTGAAGTGCCATGAGACTGAGCCACAGGGAAAACTGAACCAACCAGAGAGTAGTAAGAGGCAAGTGCTCAAGATCTTTTCCACTTTGGAGGTAATCATCATTGCATGCAAACCTCTCCCTTGTTCAATATACCGTGCTTCCCCCAAAATAAGACACTGTCTTATATTTATTTTTACTCAAGAAGAAACATGGCTTATTTTCAGGGGATGTCTTATTTGTCCTGACTCCGTCCTGATGCTGCACGCCTGTACGCAGGGCACACGGCATCAGGGCACCCTCTTGGCGCAGTGTGCATACACGCTGTGCCAAAAGGGCAAAAAAAGCCACAGCAGTAGCTCAAAGAGCGGCTTTTTGCTGCCCCCTAAAGGAGCAGCATTTTGCTGCTCTTTGGGGGGCAGTAAAAAGGAAGATTGGGGCTGCGGCATGTAGTTGCTGTGGCCCTGATCTGCCACTCCCAGGTAAAGTAAGTAATGAAGAGATATTAGAATTCACTGTCTAGTAATGTAATATCTGGTTTCAAGAAAATAAGGAAATATATGTAATATATAATAATATATAGATTAATAATGGAAAAACTACTTGGAGAAATGTATAAAGATGATTACACATTCTTTGAAAAATATAATAGAGATAGAGAGATAGGGGAATAGGGGAAAGGATAGAGATGGGGAAAGGAATTATGTCAGGAAAGAGGAAGAAATTAAAAAGGCTGTATAAATGTATTTGATATTAGAGGATATATATTAAGGGGTGGAATGGGGTAGGGGAGGGAAAGGTGAAACTAAAATGTAAGTTTTACAAGTATGTATTTGTAATTTAAATATAGGTTTTAATAATAATAATAATAAGAAGAAAAGTCACCCCTTCTTGGCCATTTGTATCAGTCCTATGTCTTATTTTTGGGGTATGGCTTATATTGCACAAATGCTTAAAAATCCTGCTATGTCTTATTTTCAGGGAAACAGGGTACAGTTGGCCCATCATATCCATGGGCTCTGGATTCAACCAACGAATGAGGCGTGAGACTGGAGAGAGATGGGAGGTGAGAGGCTGGAGAGAGACTGAGGGTCTCTGAAATGGCAGGGATCCAAGCACAATGCTCAGTGCAAATCCACACCTCTCACAATTTTACAGAACCTCCATCTCTCTCCAAACTCACATCTCTCTATTTTGCATAAGGGATTTGATCATCCATGTAATTTAATATCAACAGTAAGTCCTAGAAGCAATCTCCTGGATGAGGAAGACAACTGGATGAAGAGTTGGAATATGCCTCAAAGCATGACACTAACTAGTTACAAAAATAGTTAATTGTAAGCAGTTCTTCCCCTCATATCAAACTTCTAAATACATAAAATTATGATTGTACCTTAACTAGATGAGAGCCAATATGGTGTAGTGGTTTGAGTGTTGGACTATGAATCTGGTGACCAGGGTTTGAATCCCCATTTGGCCATGGAAACGTATCAAGGGACCTTGGGTAAGTTACACTGTCTCATCTTCAGAAGAAGAAGAAGAAGACAACCCTCCTCTGAACAAATCTTGCCCAGAAAACCCCTAAATAGGTTCACATTAGGGTTGCCATAAGTCAGAAAAGACTTGAAAGCAAACAACAAAACAAACAGATCTTAACTTAGGATAACTGCACTTTTGTGGAATAACAGTAACTTCAAAATTACTTTTACAGTTATGCAGATATGGCCTCACTAATTTGTGGAGGAGGGATATGACATGTTTCAAGTGCTGGCTTGAGCTGCATCTTGTACTATTGCCTTGCATTTTGTTGTGGGTGCTGAGATTTTAAGGAGATGAAGGGAAGGAGAGTGTGTTTTGTACTACAAGCAGGAGGCCTGTAGCATTGAGACAAAATAACAATAACAAAAAATCAGAATTTTAGCTAATGTTGAGAAATGGGAAAACCAAGAATTACTTTTATTCAAAATTATAAATTTAATGATAACATTTTTTGGGAAGGCATAATAAGAGTGCTTGGAAAAGGAACTAATTACATTTTAAAAATGGCTTTCCAAGCTGTGATCTGTCTGGACACTAAGCTCATTTATTTATTGTTTATTTTAAAGATTATACATTAAAAAAAAGTACTGAACCTTTATGTATACCAATACATTTCTTTTTGCAGTGGGGGGAAGGGGCAGGGACATCTGACTTATCTCCATGAGACTGTGAATCATTTTATTTGTTTATTGACACATTTTGGACCTATTCTTTGCCGAAAGACCCTCAACATTCAAAAGCCAATGAGATAGTTGGTGAATGTATTTGGGGCAGCAGTATCCCAATTACAGAAGATGCAAGATTAAGCCTCAACTCATTAGCCCACATCCAGGCCATCACTGACTTCACTTGCTCACTTTGTACTTGAAAAAAAGGAATTCTTGTTTCTCTCTATTAGAAAACATAAATTAATGAAACACTATGGGGTTTATGGCAAAAAATCAAATAGTTTTTCCCTAAAGGAGAAACTCCTTTGATGGGGAAGGGAAAGAGGTACAAAAATAGTTAGTAAAGAGAACATCAAACGTTGATTTATATTAAAGTTACACCCTTGATTCAAATAGTTCACTAGTATCTAAACTGACTTGGAGTGCCTCTCCATGGACCTAGTCCCAGGCCTACATGTACTTCATGGGTGGCAAGTTTGCCCCTTCCCTCCCCAGCTACGACATGCTTCTAAAGGCTGCCCTGAACAACTACCAGTAACAGAAAATGAATTCCCAGTGCTGCCAATGAGTCGTCTTCCTCCTTTTGTTTTTAGCTGAATTTGGGAGGCAATTATCTGTGAAAAAGGACAAACCTCCCCTCCTTGCATGCTACACTTCCCCTGAAATGCTTCCATTTCATAAAATCCATAAAAATCAGAATGTGTAGTGTGGTTCTCATTCTAGCATACCAGCCACAATTCAAAGAAATTGGTGTTTGATGTAATAAAGCCCTATAAAATCAGGTTTCTTTTAGCAGCTTTGAAAAATTACTTCATCCACTCTGCCACATCAGAGTTTGCAGAGTCAATGTTTTCTTGGCAATATCAATTCAGTGCCAATGATACTTAAACAAACCATGTGTCCTAAGATTATACCATAACTGGGGAATTTCTCTCCCTTTGCTGAGCTTCAGGAAGTACTGTACAGGTTGAGTCTCCCTTATCTGAACTGCTTGGAACTGGAAGTGTTTGGGATTTTGAATTGTTTTGGAGTTCTGAATACTTGTATTAGCATATACAGCTGCCCCTCCAGATCTGCAGCTTTGACTGTTGTGGTTTGATTAGTATGTTATCTCTAGGAATCTCTTGGTCCTCCAATGCAACTCTGTGGCCAACTTTTACCAGACATTGTAAAGGTGGACATAGAGATTCCCAGAGAGAACAGTTCTCTAGGCATTTGTAGGTCCTCTTGCACCATTCTGTGGTATACTTCCAGTGGCTGTTGACCACAGCGTTTTACTGGAGGATCTAGAAATTCCTAGAGAAGTGTTCTCTCAAGAAAAAATAATAATGTTTTTCTATTTGCAGTTTTCCACTTTCGTGGGGGTCCTGAGTCCCTAATCCCAGCAAATCTGGAGGGCCCACTGTATATACATAAAGAGATATCTTGGAGATGGGACCCACATGTAAACACAAAATTCATTTATGTTTCATATACATTTTAATCACATAGCCTGAAGGTATTATTATACAGTATTTTAATAATTTTGTGCATACTGAACCATCAGAAAGCAAACTGTCAGTATCTCAGCCACCCATGAAAAATATTTTGGTTTTTGAAATATTTCAGATTTTGAGATTCTGGGTAAGAATTCGACCTGTATTGTTCTTCTGTTTCATGTGGCTTACATTGGTCAGGCTTAAATGTATAGAGAATGGTTTCACAGTGTTATATTTTCCATTAATGTGCACTTTGTTCCACTGGATTTATATGATGCTTGTTTAAGTGATTCTGCAAGCTTTAAGCCTTCACTCAGGGCCACGTTAAAAACAACAACAACAACAACAACAACAAAAGAAACATTCAGACAAAAACCCACAAATCTTCTGAAGTGGGATGAACAAATATCTTCTTTTTATCAAATGCAAAGTTTGTAGCTAAAATATTATTGGATTTTATTGAAAATGATACCTTGTTTTGTTTCAGGGCACCTTTTTCCTTCATGTGAGGGCAATCTTTTCCTGTAACAACTGCTTTTATATCTGCCACAGGCACTGTATCAAAAGAAAAGAGAATTTGTGAGATATATTCCAATATATGAAAAAAAAAACTAGCATGACATCAAAGATGCAAGACAAAACTGACATGTCAAAAATGTCATTTCTTCTGCCATGTTCCAACATCTGTTGTGAATAATGAGCCAAACAAGAAATTAGAAAAAACTAAAATAATTAAAGAAGCACATGAAAATGTTAGTTGGCTTTCTCTCCTTTCCTAAGAAATTAAGATTTATGGGCTGGTGTGAATGCTATACATGTTTGCTCAGAAATATCACTGAATTCAGTGGCACATACAGCCAGTTTAGTGATTTTAAGAATGCAGACAGAATGTCATCACTCACACTTTTTCCAAAGCACTCTTCATGCCTTGATAACCCTAAATGCATGGTCAGATTTATTTATTATGGAAAAAGTTCAAACCATCTCTCTTTCCACTAAGATTGTTTTCATCTGACTAGAAAAGTGAATCATACCATTTCACCAAATTTTTTCATCACATAGGTCAATTTTTCCTCAGGTCTCCGCCCCCCCCCCCCGATGAAAATCAGTTGCCATTTTGCTCATAAGCTAACTCCTGGAGCAAAATCACATAGCCATGTTTTCTAGAATATGTTCCTATTACCACTGTGTTTCACATTCCATGAAACAACAGCTTCTCCAACCTTTTCCAATTGAAATCCACTCCAAGGAAGGAGGGAAGCTCAACCACACACATTTATGAGACTGGGAAGAACAAACAAACATGCTTCTCTTTGATTCCCCCTTCCCTAGACCAATGGAAAGTGGTATATTTATTCCTCTTAGACAAGCTGTAAAGGCATTGGAAATGATATATCATTGCTTTCCTCCTGAACATGATGGAAGATATACATGTTTAAAATGCCTCATTTGAAGCTATTTTATTAAAAGGACCTTTCATATTATTTGTAAATGCTACACTTGATTTTTAGTACTATTCTAAGAGGTTCAAGCTAATGTCAATAGTGGTCTATTTTGACCCTGTATAATGGGAGTCTCTTGCCATGGACTTGCACTATAACACTAGAAAGGAAAATTACATAGCTTTCAAATTACTAAAAAGCTCCAAGAACAGTAAGTACCAACAGGACATTACTGGGTGAAGAAAGAAAGGAAGGAATGTTAACACCTTCTAGTTAATAAAATAAAATAAAATAAAATAAAATAAAATAAAATGTTGCATAAGCATTCCCACACTTAGGAGTAGCACAACTGGTAATATACTGCTTTCAAATTTGCTAAACATTATTGTTTAAAACAAAACAAAAAAAAAAAAAAAGGAGGAAGAGAGGAGGAGGGGGGAAAGGAATGTAGCAGCATATTTAGGACAAAATTGTTTTCATTTTTGCATGAGGTTTCATGGTTAAGCATCTTCAGATGCTTACAGAGTGGTATTAAATGCTCAGGTATAAAGCATGTATACACAGTTGTGGGAGTAGGATGGAATGTGATAGAATCCTGAAGGATGAAACCATGCCTTTTGCCATAACTTTGCAAAGGGCTACATAAGGTTAGGCTTTCATCAAATGTATAAACTGGCATACATGTGTCCATACATGTTGCTTGTCACCAGTAATAATGAAAATACATGCAGTTGGTGTCTATGATATGCAACCGCTCTTTCTTTCCACACTGCAATGCAATAAACCTGAGGACCTTACAAGAGCACTCTGGATCCTTGTGCTATGCTGTTAATAGACACCTGGCAATGGTACTTTTTTTCAAAGCAAAAAGGTCATGAGGAAAGGCATTTGAGACCCAAAAGGACAGTGACTAAAGTCACTTTGGGAAGCTTTTTAACAGCATAGTTAGCTTGTGTTCTGTGCTTGTGATGGAGTAGTCCTCATGCAACCTGTTTGGCACAAGCAAGTAACAATCTAGGTGGGAAAAAGGCCGCATGTTAATGTATATTAACTTAGATAGAAAGCATACTCGGGCTTCAAAACAGAGTCAGTTTTAGGGGATTAATATCCCCTCCTCCCATGGAAAATGTTCCATGTGCACAATACCATATGGAAAAGCTGAGATAAGTACCGTATCTCTTTTATCTATCAGATGAAACAAGACAAGAACCTTAAGCTTTTTTTACTCCATCCTTCCTGGGCTAGATTCAACAGCCATACATATTTTATTATGTCAATTCACCTGTTGTGGAACAAGCTGTTATGTCTTTTTAAATTTAGCTTGAAAGGATACATGTTAATGGTATTTCTTTG